ATATATGCAGGAGGTCTGGCCTGGTTTGCACATTTTAAAAACTCTAGGTTACCCTGGTTCATCTTGCTCCCCACCTCCTTCATCACAACCATTGCACTAGATCATAATTACTCACAGTGTTACTCAAAATGTGTTCTACAAACCAACAACATTAGCATCACCTAGAAGTTTATAAGAAATTTATGCACTCAGTTCCCATTCTAAAGCAACTAAAACAGCAATTTGAGGATGAAGCCAGAGATCTAGGTTTTAACAAGGTCTTGGGGAGATTCAGATACCTGCTAACATTTGAGAAATACTGATGACATAAATAATCATCTATCCACTAATGGGCTTGTGACAACCAGTGGAGGACCACCCACTACCTAGAGGGCAAAGATTACCTCCAGAGACAAATGTAGGGCTGCCCTGAATTCCTCTTGTATACAGAGCTAAGAGGGTCCAGCAGGTGAGATATCATGTCAGTCACTGTGTCCCAAGGACAGAAACTTGGCCAAATACATGGTTTCCTGGGGTATCAAGAAAAGAGGAAGCACGATACCTGGAGCAAGTAATCTGATTAGGAATGCCAAGGGTGGGAAGCAGAAGTACTAAATCTTTTCTCAAGTTCAAGGGCAAGGTCTGAAAAAAAAAAAAAAGTTCCAACTAGGATTCCAAAAACATTCTTAGAGGAGCCTGTGATGGCTGAGGCTCATTTTTATTGATGCTGGACAAGAGGTGGCTGAGTCCAACGGCCTGGCTAATGGCACAGGACAAAGAAAATGGGGTGAGGCTGAAATGGGCATGGAAGTGTGTGCAGTGTTTAGGGTTCACCATCCACACTGCCGGAGCCATGACTTACTATCCTTTCTTCAAAACAGATGCCACTGGAATATTCTCAAAGGATGCATTTCTCTGCTGCCAAAGGATTCAAAAGATATAAAAGCCACAATTCTAATATCTTAGAATTTAAGATATTATTGTGAGAAACAAAAGATCTCAACCCAAATGTAAGGTTTATTCTCATTGTACCCTATTTGTGTGTTTTTTTGCACAAAAAAGAGCATTTATTAGGTATTATTTGATTGGGGTTTATAAATTTTGAAAAACCATCTTATGAAATCACAGTTACTTTGAAGATATAATCTTGCAAAGAGTATGACGTTGATTGAAAATAAGCAGGACCATAATAAACAGGCTAGTCTGGGATGGTGGAGTAAGAAATTTGACCTCCCAAGAATTGAAAGAACAAGTTAGGGGAGTTACAGGGTTGGGGATGGTCTGAGTCAGAGCTAAGGGAGGGCTCTGTACTAGAAAACCTGGTCATCATAACTGGCTGTCTCATCACAAGCTCAAACTCCTCATGGCCAAAGCAGAATCATAAAATTGCTCCCCACTCTCCAAAGTCCTTGCCATTTTATACAGCTGAGCTTTACATAACCTGTGATCTTCAGTCAGAAGCCCTTCACTCCCCCTACCTAGCAAAAAGAAGCTGTACTTGATGTTGAGACCGCTCTCAGATCACCTCGCTTCTGAAGCTCTCTCTGTCTCTTGGTCCATTGCCCCACCACCCACAAACAACTTCTCTTTCACTGTCTAAACCCTCTCAATATATGTTTTTTTATGCATACCTCTCTGTAGCTATTAATAAGTTTGCTTTTCCCAAAAGATCATGACCTATTTGAAAGAAAAAACAAAATTGTATATACTAGGTCCTTGGTACATAGTAAGAGCTTAACAATGATGTGCTAAAAGAATAAATACAGACACAAAATAGAGACTCAGAATGATGACCTTGCACAGAAATGTTGAAGAAAGTACTACAAGAAGATTTGGAGCAGGGATGGAATGACAGAACAGAGGCATGACAGATGACCTTCTCTTACCTTCACCCCTCAAGAATAAGACTTCAAGCAAGGTCTTTTTGAGAGGCCTGGAAACTGACTAAAATCCCAGGGAAAATGACAAGGGAAGATGTGCTTTATGAAATATGACTTCAAGAGGCATTTCGGGTGGAAGATGGTGGGGTTGGAATGGGGTAGAAAGGCCATGCCTTCATCTCAGAATTCTTTTTGTTTATCCTCAACGAAGGACATTTTTTTCATTTTTTGTTCAGATAGAGTGAGAGGGAGAGAGAGGAAAAAAAAACCATTGATGTGAAAGGGACACATCGAGTGGTTGCCACCTGCATGACCCCACCAGGGCTGGGGACAAATTGCAACCGAGGTAGGTGCCCTTAGTGGGAACCGAACCTGGGTCTCTCTGGACCGCAGGTTGACGCTCTAACCACTGAAACAAACCAGCCAGAGCAGAATTTCTTATCCTGAAATGCAGAGGTCTAGTTAAGAAATAGAGTGTTCAGAGCAATCTCTGCCCTCCAGATCAGGGAGAGAGGCAAAAGGTACATCCACAGTCTGGTCTGCTAAACCAGTTGTGGGAACAAACTGGAATGTGGGCTGAAATTCTACTCAGGAGTAAAAGAATGTGCATTTGGTTGGTACTCCCCACTGTTTCTCAGGAACCTGCACGTGATACAGAGGGAGAGACTCGGATGACTACAGAGAGCAGGTATGAGTGATAACAGAACAGCTGGCACTTGTGACAGACAAGAAAGAGGTAGTGTGAAGTGAGGAAAATAGAGACAGGCATGTCCTGTGTCAAGGGCCCCCACAAACTGCTACCCACAACCACTACTCAGCTTCAGCTGATAATTTCTGTGCATTTATGATGGTCTGATCTGTTTTATTTTTATGAAAGGCAGAAATCCAGATTTAGTATACACTTTCTCAGTTTTGAAAGGTAGACAATGACCAACTTATTTTCAATTACACTTGAGCTTCCATTGTGCAGGACAAACAATTCACGTCTGAACGCGGAATCTGGGTCCTGAGTCATTAGTTAGTAACTACAGATGATTTGAAAGGAGAAGTAGATACTCAGGGATTCCTTGACCATTCAGAGGTTGGAATCTACTCAATACAATCCAGCGCTTCACCTTCATCTCATTACCTAGCCTTTAACATGGTTTTGATACCCCCATGGTCCTGTGTACTGAAAATCTATTCTTCTGTTGACATCTTCTGGAAGGAAGATTATCTAATCTTCTTAGAAACAGATAATCAACCCATTCACCATATAGGAAATTCAGCTAAGGGCTGTTTTTCTTAGTCAGCTAATACAAGTGGATAGCATTACCATTTGGTGTATTCAGTTAGTGCCCAGAGAAGGGAGGCATCTTTTCTGAGCCTCCATAAAAAGATATAAAGATTTGCCCACGGGCTACTTTAGACAAAAAAAAATCAAAGTGAAGTGCACTTTTCTTTAAAAAAAAAAAAAAAATGGGTCTATAAAGTTTTGTTTCAGACGTGTGGTACCAGAGTGGCACTGGCCTAGATTTCCACTGGACAAGTTTTCACCTAGAAATAATTGACAGAAAACACCCAGCTGGGTGGTACATGTGGCAGGTGGTCCAGAAAGTGGGTGAAAACAAGAGAGGCACCCAGAGCAATAAGAGAAATTCTCAGAGCAATTAGAGAAATTCTATTAAGTGAAGCAGAAGCAGAAACGAAAAACAAAATTAACAGGTCAGGTGCAGGTTTAAATTGATGTTCTCAGCTCAAGCAGTTTCTTTTTTTAATATACAGTAATATTCATAAGCCTCAGAAGATTGAAGCTGAAATGGTCGTAAGTCAATTTTAACCCATTTTCCACTCACATACTATGAGAGAAGGAAGGCAATTTTACTGGTTTACAGGAGAAACAGTCTATGGGTTTCTATTGTAGAGAAAGAAGTTGATTTCAGTTCACACAGATATTTCCAGCTTCAAGGGCTTCTCTGGGCTGCAAAGGATGTGCTGTTCCCAAAGTCCCACCAAACAAGGAGTGTGAGTATATTTCAGGGCTGCTCGGGTACTGAAGTGCCCGCAGAACTCAGACCATCAGCAACTATAAAGACCACCTGCTTCTGGACCCCTGTTTGTGATCACAGCCTTCCAGACTGGGGAGTGTAACATCAGCACAGTTCCAAGTAAATCCTTCAAGGGGAGAAGATTAAGGATCAGTGAGTGTGTGTGTGTGTGTGTGTGTGTGTGTGTGTGAGAGAGAGAGAGAGAGAGAGAGAGAGAGAGAGAGAGAGAGAGAGAAGGGGGAGAAAAAGAGAGAGGAAGGGAGGAGGGAGACAGAGAGAGGGAGAGTGTTCTCATTAGGAGAGGATCTGTGATTTGACAGCGAGCTGCTCACGGCTGCCTCTGCTGCGGCTGCATGGTCCGCCTGCACTTGAACAGGGCTGCCAGGGTTCAGAGGAACCGCAGTTCTGAATACTGAGCACTGCTAAGTGGTCTCCCTGTCAAACAAAGTAGACGAGAATTCCTGCAGGTTTGGAAACTTGGGCTTCTTACTGCTTCTTCACCCAGAGAAGCAGGCAGCACTACAAAAGAAAAGGTAAGAGAAGAGATTGTTCTTTACTGGGTAGGTAGGGCAGGGGGCATCCGGAGCTGTAAGCTTCAAAGGTTTGCTTTTTTTATAGAAAGGGATTTGCCCTCTGAGAGCTAAGGAGGCGAATGCTGATTCCCTGCCAGGCTTGATCACTGAGCCTCCTGGCTCCCCCCACACCACTCCTGCCTCCTCGTACTTTTTTTCCTTTATACTTTTTCCAAGCATCTGAGAGGCTTCTTGGTATCTATTTTTTCAATTAGCAGATATTGTTTCGTTTTTCCCTCTGAGCACTCTTTCAAAACAGGAAGATTTTTCTGTTTCTCGTTTCTTAAGCATTTTTCTCCATGAAGAGGACACTGATCCCTGTTACTGTAAACTGGTCAGATCAGTTACTCCATCTCCATCCTACACCAGAGTTGCAATAAAAGGAGTTTTCAGAAGTACGCATGAGCCCTATTCTTGCAGAGAAAGGGGAGGTGAAAGGAGAGGAAGTGGGGGTTGCCGGGCAGTAACTGCCTGGATCTGAACCATTGAGGCTGTGAATGAATATGGACTGTTACTCCTCACAGGGGAAGAGAAGCGCTGTGAAAGGCAGGACGCCGGGAAGGGGATGTTTTGAGAAGTGCTTCAGAGAAACTTCAAGGCACCGAAGATGGAAAACGAGACAGTCAGCGAACTGAACCAAACACAGCTTCAGCCACGAGCAGAGGTGCCCTTCGAATACCAAGTGGTCACCATCTTACTTGTGCTTGTTATTTGTGGTCTGGGCATTGTGGGCAACATCATGGTAGTCCTGGTGGTCATGAGGACCAAGCACATGAGGACCCCCACAAACTGCTACTTGGTGAGCCTGGCCGTTGCTGATCTCATGGTCCTGGTGGCCGCAGGCCTCCCCAACATCACAGACAGTATCTATGGCTCCTGGGTCTATGGATACGCTGGCTGCCTCTGCATCACATACCTCCAGTACTTGGGCATCAATGCATCCTCTTGTTCAATCACGGCCTTTACCATTGAGAGGTACATAGCGATCTGTCACCCCATCAAAGCCCAGTTTCTCTGCACATTTTCCAGAGCCAAAAAGATCATCATCTTTGTCTGGGCTTTCACATCCATTTATTGTATGCTCTGGTTCTTCTTGCTGGATCTCAATATTAGTGCCTACAAAGATGCTACTGTTGTGTCCTGTGGCTACAAGATCTCCAGAAATTACTACTCACCTATTTACCTAATGGACTTTGCTGTCTTTTATGTTGTGCCCATGATCCTGGCCACTGTCCTCTATGGATTCATAGCTAGGATCCTGTTCTTAAATCCCATTCCTTCAGATCCTAAAGAAAACTCTAAGACATGGAAAAATGACTCAACTCATCAGAACAAGAATTTGAATTCAAAGACTTCTAACAGGTGTTTCAACAGCACTGTATCTTCGAGGAAGCAGGTAAGCAAATCTGAACGTCCAGGTCCGCAGAGGAAATGTGGGCTATTCCTTTGTGAGGTGGGATCAACTTTGCCCTTCTCAGCTGATGCCTAAACCAAAATACAATCGTGCACACGTTTCCCAGTATAAGCTTCTGCTTTACATATTCAATCTCTCTCTAAAGCAACTGAAGATCTAAAAATAGGTGGGGAGATGTTGATAGCACATCAGCAGGTACCAGTTCAGGTGTTATTAAAATATAAGAAAACATAAAATGAAAGCCCTAGAAAGCCACCTTTAAAATGTTTGTGCCTCTCTGGAAAATGTTGTCAAGGTATGTATACCCTTTCTGGCTACTGCAGAAAGCAGCTGGGTATCTTTAGGAATTCTACTGCACAGCAAATATTTGACAAGATAGTTTGAGAAAAGATGAGACAAAGAAATAATGAAACTCTTCTTACCATTCTACAGTTGCTTACAACTGAGACACATAACAGAGAGAGGCTCCTGGACTTGACATTTTAGTATTAGTAGGAAAGAGTCTATCACCCTCTTTCCCAGTTCCCTACAAAGTGTCTCAGCCTGCAGAAGCTGAAAATGCACTTTGCTCAGGAAATGTTCTAATAAAGAGGCTAACATCAAGCTCAACTTGTTACCAAAACAACAAAAAACAACAACAAAAAGAAGAGTGTATTTTTAAACGTCTGTTTTCCTGCTAAGCATAACTAAAAGCCCTTTATGCTTTCAGATTACCCGAATCCCCATGTGGTTACAGTTGAATAGTAGTTTTACTAGTGAATGAAGTACAACTCTGATATGGTTTATAAATAATACAGGAACAAAATACTTTTATATCATATACATATTTATCTATATTTACACAATTGTTCTAGGTTGCTTATAAACTTAGCTTTTAGTTCTTTTTCTTTCTTTTCTAAACAGAATAAATTCATGGTAAACATTTATTCTCATAGCTTAAAGAGAAAACTTAAAATTAACAATACTAGCTCTTTTAAATTGGGTTGGGTGTGTGTGTGTGTGTGTGTGTGTGTGTGTGTGTGTGTGTAGAAGATACAGTTCTTCCTGTGTGCACAGATAGAAACTGAGTATACCTTTTAAAGTATGCATATGGATCATCTATGTTATCACTTCTCAAACTGAAGATTAGCTGATATATGAAGAATTATAATTGGACATTTCAGCACAAGTGCAATAAGATCCTACTAACTGTATGTGTTTTAGATATGCATGAAATAACTAATGAACTGTAACTGAAAAGAAACATTTACAGCATTTTAAATGATACTGTGGTACTTGATTTATGTAACATTTATTATTAAAGATACTTAGATGATAGAAAGGGAAGACCTGAGCAACTATTGCCAGCTCTTAGATTTCTATTGTTTGGGTCTAGCAGTACTACCTAACACAAGGTATATTTGGCCATCTATTACCCAAAACTTGATTAAGAGAAATTTAGAGAGAACTGCTGACCATCTGCCAAGACAAACATTAACAAAGACAGTAAAGAATATGTACATCTCAATTAGAGACCACACGTGGGTTAATGTCTGCAGCAAAGAAGGTCAGTGAGTAAATTTATTCATTAGACTCCAATTGATATTCTTATTATAAATTCTGAAATGTTGTTTGTCTGGTCTAATATTTCCTTCCTTTCAATTACAGTCATTAGTACCTAACAGCATTAATAATGTACTTTAAATTGTTAATTTTGTTACATGTTCACACTCTTATTTCAAAGCTGTTACAGACAGGCTGTCTTGATAGAGGCTGTGTGGTAGAAGAAAACGCCAAACATTTGGCTCCGAACAAGCCTGAGCTTAAATGCCAGGGTTCTAAGCAAGTTGTGTGATCTTGGATAAGCAGAACTCACTGAGCCTCAGTTTCCCCATTTATAAAATAAGGACAAATAGCAACATCCAGGGTTGTAAGGGTTCGATAAGCTACCGTATGAAAGAGTAGTGATTAATACCTGGGTGTTCATTAGCCTCCTTCCTCATTTCTAGTATGTTGACAACTATTAAGAAAATACACCAGTCAGAGAAAGATAAATATCACATGATCTCACTTACATGTGGAAACGGGCTAACAAGTAGGACCAGAGGCATGGATAACTGGAACAGACTGACAGATCTCAGAGGGGAGCGGGGTGGAGAGGAAGAGAGGAGATCAGTCAAAGCATATATATGCATAGATGCATAGTCCGTGGACACGGACAATGTGGCGAAGGCCTAGGGGGAGCAGGGGCAGGGTGGAGGGAGACAAAGAGGGGGATTGGGATACATCTGTAATCAAGTCAACAATAAAAATAAAGAAAATACAGATTTGCCTTAAAAATATACATTTGCCATTTAAACAAAGATCATTTGTTAAACAGGTGCATATGTCATACAGTAGCTTCTCTACGGACACTTTTAATCACTGAGGCATTTGTAACTGTATTCAGAGCATTTGGGGCTATCACAATATTGCCGTCCATAAGCCTCAGGCACCAGGAATGCCAAATGTCCTGAAATGAGCAAGACAGTCCTGCACAATGAAGTGCCCTTTTACAAATGCCAATAACATCCTCGGAGAGAAATATGGGATGGCACAGAAATCAATAGAATTGCATTTAAGTACAATGCCATGTAATTTAGTTCTGATTGGAGATAGGATGGGCGCTCAGAGACAAGAAAGGAAATTGTGAAGCTAGAGAGATCAGAGAAGACTTCATGGAAGAGGTGGCATTTGAGGAGGCTCTAGAAAGATGGGGATACTTTGGAAAGTAGAAGTCAGGAGGGACAGAACTCCATACAGAAAGGACGTGGCTGGGGTGGGGAGGGTATGGATTTGAAGAGGGACAAAGGGGAGCACGCAGGGTGGCATTTTTACAGGATGGAGTGATTTGGTTGACTAAAGTGAATGATGTATTTGGGCGAGTAGTAAAGAGTTAAGATGGGATTGATGGGGGGAGAGAGAGAGAGAGAGAGAGAGAGAGAGAAGGAGAGAGGAGGCTTTGGAGGATCCCAACTCTCAGGTGGAGAAAGGAGACTGAACTTAGTAGAGAGAAAATGAGGAATGACAGGGGGGAGAGGAAGCAGCAGGGAGGAAGGGGTGTTCAGAATGACGAGTCTGCTGGCTGGGGATGAGGCAGATTTTGGCTGGTGAGAGACTGGCCGCAAAAAGACCCTCTGAATGTGGATGGTAGGGATTCAGGAGTGAGGCTGTAAGAGTCTCTCTCAGGAAAAGTTCATGGTATGACCTGAGGAGATGTTTCAAAGAAAGAAAGGGTGAGATACGTATCTATTGGATGTATGAGACGCAGAGAGGAAGGTTCAGTGTGGATCGGGGTTCTGAGCCTGGAACAACAGGGGTGTCCCTGGGAAATGGGACTGAGAGCCATGAAGTTTTGCCCAAAATAAGTGACCCTTGATCTGGCTTTTTCCTCTTCTGAAATAATTCTTTTCTTAAATCTTTGAAAGTTCATACCTCCATCTTCTGTAACCCAAGGACTTTTATTTTAATATTTTCTCTGCACTTTTTTTTTTCTCAGGCAAGTTTAATTCATGTTTTAATAAATATTCTGTCCAGGTCAGGTCTTTCTAAGTTATTAAAGTCAAATATGTGTAGCCTAAAAGAACTACATTTCAAAGGGAAATAAAAGAGCATTTATACATAAGGGACAAATGTGAGTTTTGTGTTTGTTTTTAACTTATAGCCTCTATGTAGAAAACCCAGGTCAGAATCTCCAACCCCCATTATTCAGAGATTTAGTTATATTTTAGGAAACAACAACAACAACAAATACTTGGTAAATCCAATGAAGTAAATTACCCAAACCAGTGGCTTGGAATTGTATAGGCAAAAGAATTCTCTGATTGACTAAATCTTTTGCTTTACACTAGGTTGTTTAGATATTGAGGAGACGCAATTTAAATGATAGTTTGTCACATTCCAGCTGTATCTGCAAAACTCAAAAATGTTCTCTGGGTTCAGTCGATTCAGGTATTCAGCATTGTGTAGCTCAAATATCCCTGTTATTGACTGTATCTATCAAAGGAATTGATTGGATCTTTTGGCATTTTGGAGGCAACAAAAACGTGTGCCTCCAAAGGCTGTCATTGGGATAAACACCTCCACACAAACGTTTGCTTTCCGCAGGATAATGGGTCAGCCCGAGACGCCCGCCATCGCACCACAGTTTTATCTTCAGTTGAGTCACTCAGATGTAGTTTTCTTTTCTGTCAGCATCATTGGTGGGGGATTGGTAGCATAACCCAAATGGAAGCTTTGAGACTTTATGGCCAAATTTTCATCATGGGTTTTATGTGGCTAAACAAGCCTTTAAAATACTGAACAGTCTTTGTGTCTATAAATTTTTTAAATGCCTTCTACCATTCTAGAAGAATGTTGGTATCCCAAGAAACGAAAACAGGTTGTTGTTTTTTAAAAGCAATACATGCCTTTTGTTGTTGCCATTGTTACTATGATGACAATATAAAAGCAATCATGTGTTCTATGAAAAACACAGAAAATGAGGAATAGGAAAAAAGCATCCTTTGTGCCACCTCTTAAAACCATAATTTATTAGCATATAGTTACATTCTTTTTTTGATGTTTTCACTTGCTCTTTTTTATATAACTATGGTATACATACATCTTATATATAATTTTATACCCTGCTTTTACACAAAAATGTTAAAATTAATATCCTCAAGGAGAAGAGCACAGAAAAAAAAAAGTGGGTAAGACTGTGAGTCAGTTTCTCACAACCTCAGTTTTCCTATCATTAAAATGGGAATAACAATAACTCAGAGTAGCTTTTCAAATTGAATGAGATGCATCGGATAATATGCACATTCGCTCTCCTCCCACCTGAGAGCAAGTTCTTGCAGTATGAGGTGCATATGGCAAATGAAGACACTCAAATAAGAAAGGGCTTCAGTGTGTCTTCTCTCTTCTCCTCAAGCCTCCCTCCAACTCCCACCCATTTGCTATTTACTTTTTAAAGAAGAAAT